TATATATATATATATATATATATATATATATATATATATGAGTTTACCATTCGTTCATGCTTATAATATTACCACATATGGTCCAGTGCCCTTGCTATTTACCCTGAATACCTCGATAAGATTCAAAGAAAAATCAGCAATATTATTGGTTCTGATCCGGCGGCTCGGTCATCTAATGCCTTGAGATTACATCTGTGCTTTTTTTATACATATTTTGATGGTAATTGTTTGAATGAGCGCTTCGGTGTGATACCTAGAATCCATGAATTTAAGTGCATTACTAGACTGACGTCGAGATATCATTAATATACATTTGATCTGGCTAGATGTAGCCGAATGTTCTATGCTAACTGTTTATTTTCTCGCACTTTTCGCTTGTCTTGCGTAGGTCCATTCTGGCTCCATGCTATCCAGTTAACTTTAATCTGAAAAAAAAAATGAAATGCAATGTCAGTCGCTATCTACTGCCTTGATTACTTTTTTCTCTTCCCTCTAATTATTAATAATTCTGTTCTTAATTTTTCCACACCTGTAACACCTTGTGTTTTAGTGACATTACCTCATTGCTTGGGGTGATTCCGAATAATACAAACATAGTTACTTGCACTTTAATGAGACAGGACATAGCAAGGTCCTGTCATAGAGAGGATCTCACATTGCTTCTCCACACGAGGCAGTTAAATTACTGAAATTTGTAATAATAATTTGAAGTTTTACAAGGGATGCTCTTCATACCGTCAAAATCAATGATACCCTATTGAATACTGCCTGTTCATATATATATATATATATATATATATATATATATATACACCTGGTGTAAGAAAAAAATTGTCCAATTGTTAGGTTAAGTTTAGAACCGTTATATCTTTGATTGAAATGGTTAAAGCCATCTTTCTCGAGTTCTCTGAGGTTTTTATAGCATTATTGAACTCTTCTTTGAACAATGTCGCCATGACGACTGCGTTTAGCAAAAAAAGAGAGCTACCTCTGGATGTTGACTTCAGTGTTCATTAATATATATATATATATATATATATATATATATATAGTGTGTGTGTGTGTGTCTAAAGAGAAAGAGAGAAAGAGGGAGAAGCGAAAGGAGATAAAATCAGTGACAGGTAAAAACTATCAAGTAATACATTTTTATGTAAACTTTCTTGTTTCCGAAAACGACACGAACGCTGGGTTCAAAACATTAAACAATGTTTTAGATGATTTTATGAACGATTCTAGTACATTTGACTGGTCATCCTTATGGACCAATCATTTCGATGCTATTCATCAGGAGAATAGTATTTCGTGGACGCAGACTGATATCCTATTAGCGTTTATGTTAGAAACCTGTATATCTTCAGAATATCATATCAGAATTCACCCATCAGTCTCAGGAGACGATCGATGTAATCTATATTTCAGGCGCAGTGTCCGTTGTGGCTTCTACTGTACAAAGGTTGGTTAGGTAGATAGGCGTAAGAACTTGTTACCGATTCAAAAGTACCTACTCGTCTGATTGTTGAAATGAACCCAATGGAAAAGTAAGTGCCGATATATATATATATATTCAGTAATTTTTTCTGGATGTTACTTAATATAACGAAATGATTTAGAAACTCAAACTCCGAATATTTTGTTCTCTTGGTAGACTCCTGAAACGTTTTATATGAGTGCCCAAAGACGCAATTCAGCAGATATTTATAATTCAGAGTTGTCCTACTGTCAGACAGTTCACCAAAACTCCAGAACCTGGTCTTTTCTGATATTTAAGCCCAAGGTTTTCTTTCGAATTCCGAGAGCGAAATGACGTAGCCTCTATCGTCTTGCAATCAACAACTGCTAGCGGTCGTGATGGAAGCGACACCGCGATCTACAAGCGCGAAACGAAAGAATCGACGCAAAAAAACTACAGTCTCTCCTCTTCATCTTCATCCTGCCACGTCCCGATTTCCTCCGCATGAGAAAGGCAAAAAGGTCGCTGGGACTGGGAGATATCACTTGATTCTCTAGTTAGAAGACATGTAATTTCTCGCCTCTCGACCGGACAGGACAACGAGACATGGGTTCTCGAAGCCGCAACATGCGTTCAAGGTGTCGATGTTCACTGAGTCCTGCAATTGGCATTAGTTCACACAGGTTTGTTATGTCATTAGATTCCGGAGCCGCATGTGCACTAGACTAGAGGTATCAGCGGGAATATTTAACCCATGATGCCAGAAAGCGTCATGGAAAGACCTAAAGAAATAAATGAGTAAGTGTCGGTATCTTCAGTTTCCTAAGGTGAACATTCATATATATCGAACTGGGTTTAACTACGCAACAATGCTCCACTGTGGAGCGATAAGTTGAGGTAGATTGTGATCAAGAAATAAACTATTAGGTTGAGTCATAAATAATTTCTGTTTTTCTTTATTGATTGTATTTTTCCAAAATTAAAGGACAATTAGATTTTATTCAATTATCCCTTCACAATTATTTGTAATGACGTTTTGCCAATTCTCAGGCAGCTATTCGTTACTCTTTAAGTAAAATTCCACATGATTTAATGTGAAAAGGTTTTCGACTATGTCTTGAAACTGGTTTTCATTAGAGAATATTTTCCCCTCACAATATTTTCCGGCGATCAAAAATTGTTATAATCGATTGAAAATATGGCCTTGGGCTAAAACAGTGAAATTGATTTCCAAAACTTTTTTTTTCCTGTTGTATTCTTGCTCTTCATGGCTAAAGGGGAGAACATTTTTTTTCCATTGACATGAGTAGGGAGCTTTTCGACCAAACTTTCATGGACACGTTACATCTTCTGGACATTTAAATGAGCCTTTATTATTTCATTGAGTTGTATGAACTGCAAATATTACTCGAAGGAATCATTCACATGCACAGGGTTGCCTTTTCACTCAAGGGAGCCTAATTTTTCGGGTCAAAAGAGGAGATTGGTCCTTGTCAATCCAAAACGTTCAGCATTGAACATTGCCGTATGATGGTTTCTGTAAGATTATTAACTGCCATGTAGGATTATTATATAGGATTCTCATTACAAAACTTCACAACGTCTTTTATATATATATATATATATATATATATATATATATATATATATATATATATATATATATATATATATATATACAAATATGAGAAAGAACCAATATTCGTAGCATTTAATTAAAAAAGTTTTCAATACAAAGTAGAGCAATATATTAGTATTTTTTATTATAAGAGATTAGAACAAGCTCATGTTGAAGTTGCTAGACAATAGATTTCGTGTTCCAGCACTGTTGTGCCTCTTCAGTCGATGGTAACTGACTGTTGATTAAATGATTTTTAAGAAAATTAATTTAATCACCAGTCACTCACCATCGTCTGAAGTGGTACAACACTAGCAAAAAACGAAAGCTATTGTGTAGCGATTTCAATGTTTTTTGTTCTAATTTCTTCTAATAAAAAAATAATAATATATAAAAATAGTATATATAATAAAAATTATATATATATATATATATATATGTATATATAATTTTTATTATATATACTATTTTTATATATTATCATTTTTATTAGAAGAGATTAGAACAAAAACATATTGAAATATATATATAATAAAAGTAATATATATATATATATATATATATATATGAAGAAAAATATACGGAAAAAACAAACAAAAATCCTTATATGCAATTATGCTGTTTTAATGTTAATAAAATGTCAACGTCGGACGTTTCGGTCTAATAAACCATCTTCAGGACATATTCATAAAATATAATTAACATTATCGATTCAACATGACAAAGACGATGGACATAAGAACAAGACATTATTCAAACACATAACTGAAAGTTTTATAAGATCAGCGTGAAAATTTCTTTTCCTTTTTCATTTTTTATTCAAAATACTCAAATTTTAGGAATACATTTTCACAGCATCGCCCACGTGACGACAACGTGATCATGTTTAAACGGAGCGCTGGTCTTATAAAACTTTCAATAAATTTAACAAGACTTAAAATGACCCATATTCCTACATCATGCAGTGACGTCATTTGTAAAAGAATAAATTCAAAATGATTACGCTGTATATTAAGTTCTTGTAAAATTAAAGTTTTCTATTTTAATTTTGGAAAATGATTTCAATTTTCTAATCAAATCTGAATCAGAGGGAAGACATGATAAATAAGCAGAAGTTTTAATTTATTATATATGTGTGTGTGTGTGTGTGTGTAAATATTCGCATACAGAGTGTATCTGTAAAATATACAAAATGAATAAATGTAGCAACAGAAAAACTATATGTAGCCGATGAGTTTCGACCTCTGAAATTATAACCTATATGAAGTCCCTCAGAGGACGAAATGCATCAGCTAAGTATATTTTTCCTCTTGTCTCTTTTTGTTCACACACACACACATATATATATATATATATATATATATATATATATATATATATATATATATATATATATATATATATATATATATATATATATGGGCACGGTGGAGTAATGGATTGCGGCTCGGATAGAGGAATCGGACAGGTGATTTCGAATTCCAGTAGAATCCGTTACATTTGAGAAATGTATGGATCCTACTCTTCTTCTCCGCCCAGCTATGAGTAAATAGCAGGATAGACTGGGTTCTATAGCCTTGGATAGCAACTCGTCTAGCAAGAAATGACAAAGAAAAGACATGAAGGAAATGGCAACTGCGCGCGTGCTGGACAAGAAAGAAATGACAACATTCTGTGTATGTGTGTGCATATATGTGTGTGAGTGTGCGCGCTCATACACACACACACACACACGTACACAAGCACAACCACATTCACTAGTGTGATAGGGTATTTCGTACCGTGTCAAATGCCTCTATGCCCACGGGAGTAGTTCAAGTCATTGACTCGGGAGACATGTTGAGATTTGCCGTCACGATGTCTGCCCACGCGTTACTGATATTGGTGACTGCAGGTTCGTGTACAAAATTAGACTTCTACACCACGTAAGCTGTAATGTATTCTGTCAGCTATTGCCGATACGAAAGTGATACTGCAAGTCGTGGGATATCGAATGTTCTTAAAATTTAAGAAATTACATATACAATGGACGTGTCACGCATTAGCATCTAGTAATACATATCACCTTTCTATGTGCAAGCGGCCATTGTTCCGACTGCGTCACCAAATGTCAGAATTTCCTGTTATAGGCCTTGGCATTTCCATGACATTAAGCAGTGGTGGCAACAAAAACTCTGATCTTTACATACTGCACTCCCATAAATTATGAAACCTAATTACATCTCTCTCTCTCTCTCTCTCTCTCTCTCTCTCTCTCTCTCTCTCTCTACCCCCCCATATAGCCCGGATGAGTGTTTTTGCGAACGTACCCTTTCTTAGTCCCATTCCCGCCAATTCCATCCGCCTCCTGGTTTTCTGACCCCCTCTTCTAAGTTTCACTGTTACCAGTACCATCCACCTTCTGGTGTTTTATAAGCTTGTAGTGGTGTTCACTATACTACAGCTTTTTCAACCGGCCTGAGGAGATCTAGCGATCGAATCTCGTTTGCGTGGTTCTGAGAGATTTTCTTTCAAGGCATCTTGCTCTGCATTTTACATCTTATATTTTATACATTATTTAGATTATTCGGACTATTGTCCTCATGTTTGTCGCCATATTTATCACAACGTTTCGGCCGTTGTACGCTCCGGCCTTCTTCAGGTGGTTGGAATTTCGAACTGAACCCTTTATTTCTCTCACTGGGGTAGACTGTTCTAGTTCCACGTGCCATGTTTGATGGATGTCAGTTATCAGTTATCTCCTGCTAATTTTCCCGCTGAAAGTTCTCCACTGACTTAACTGGGTATTGAACTCAGACTCTTTGGGTCCTGTCACTTGAGGACACATGGCACAGTGGATAAAGGCGTTGGTTAGATCCAGTGTGCGAAATAAAGGGTTCATATATACACACACACACACACACACACACACACACACACACACACATATATATATATATATATATATATATTGTGTGTGTATTTAGGCAGCATTTTTTCATTGATGAATGTTTCATGAAATAATATAGACAAGTTTTGTCTATTTATTTTATGTAAATTCTTTTCATAACGTCTGATAAGCTTAATAACATTATAATTAAAAGAAGAAAGAAAATCACAATATTGATACATATTTTTAATCCTATCTAAGCTTTCGAATTACATAAGCCATCATCAAAGATGTAAATTACATTAAAATATATTAAACCTATGCGTAATTTCTTCCAGTTGGCCCAGGGTAGTTATATCTTTTAGTTTATCGAAGATGCCTGTATATATATATATATATATATATATATATATATATATATATATATATATATATATATATATATATATATATATATATATATCCACATCCACAAAAACATAAACAGGGTGATTGAAAAGTAACTATGCATTTAAAAAATACTTATAATGTATTTATTAACTCTAATTTTTACATGAAACGGATATGAGAGGAAATTGTTTAGCGTGAGGCTTTATTTAAAAATCGAAATGTGGACCAGATTTCTCTACCAGTTTCTCGAGCTGTCCAGGAATCGCGTCAAGTGATTTCACCAGGAACACTTGTGATATGGAAGACATACCTTCTTGTATTCGCGATTCAAGTTCTTGCAAAGTTTTGGTTTGGTATAGTAGAATTATTTCTTTAACCACCCCCGCACTACCAAAAATTCACTGGGTGTTAAGTAAGGATCCCAGGCCGGCCGCTCATGCATAGAATAGAGAGTTACTTTGCAATCAAAATATATATATATATATATATATATATATATATATATATATATATATATATATATATACATGGGGGGTCTGTGGGGGGTCTGTGTGGGGGGTCTGTGTGGGGGGGGTCTGTGTGGGGTGTGTGCTTGTACATATATTACGAAAATTAATGAGAGCGTGATATT